TTTCTGGTTCCAAAACTTGTCCCTGGGTGATGGTGAATGGAAGGTGGCAGCTCTTCTCATGAAGTTAAGCAGCACGTGTGTTTCAATACAAGACGTTGAGCAAGCCACTGTTGTTGTAAATCTCATCCAAAATACCGTGCCTGTCACGACATCCCTTATCGCTGTCTATGGGAGCGGGAGAACAACTTGCCCTTCCTTGGACGTGCCCGAGGGTGGGAAATACCCAGCCTGACCTGCTGTGAATCCAACACTTCGTGCCTTTAACTCTTCCCATGTAGATGTGCAGAAGCAGTACGAATGTGCCAATTTTGGTGAGCAAGGAATCACGGTGGGATGCTGGGACGTGTACCGTCACGACATCGACTGCCAGTGGATCGATATTACTGATGTCCCACCAGGCGATTACCTCTTCCAGGTATGGGAGAAAAAGGGGGTCTGAGGCACTGCCACTGCCTTCATCCCATCCGTTAGGGATGTCGAGAACGGAACTAATTAGTATTCATACATCTCCTGCAGTACTATACAATTCTGATTCCAAAGAGGTTATATTTCCAGGATTCCTAAAAGAGAAAGAATTGCCTAACAGGACAACGAAGTGTTACCAGATCACATACTTCCCCAAGTGAAAAATCAGCTTTTGAGCTGTTTGTAAGCAACGCTCGCTTCGCTCGGGATCAAATAGTGCCATTCCCGCAGTGTTTGCAGGAGTCAAGACTCTGCCTACAGTCTGTTTTGTGCAAGTGGGTGGAGGTGGGGGGGAATTCTTGGGTTCTGAAAACAGCCACTTCAACTGGAAAGGAGAGAGGGGAAGGGGAATTATTTTTGTCAGTGCTGCTCTTGTGTGAAATGTAAAGAAGGTGTTTGAGGGTGTATCTTGGTGTATGGGGGAAGGCAGGATCTTGATCTGGCTTTAATCAAGCAGTTTCTGGCTCCTTGCAAAATGAGTTAAGTTTTTTCTGTTTGTTTAAAAAAAAAAAAAGTATTATGGTGTAATGAAAAAGCTGATTCTATCTCAATCTGACTACTAAGTGCTGCCTCCAGTCCACCTTTCACTAACTTTATGCTGCGTTTCTCCATCACTCCCCAGGTCGTCATCAACCCAAACTATGAAGTCGCTGAATCCGATTACTCAAATAACGTGATGAAATGCAGGAGCCGGTACGACGGGCAGCGCATCTGGATGTACAACTGCCACATAGGTAGGAGTGACTTCTGCAGGGGAAACTGGGACGGCTGTCGTGCCTGGGTCAGGCTGCATCGCTGGCTCTTCGCTAGGAATAATTCTCTGTGCTTCCACTGCAACGTGCTTACGTGCTGTTTAGCACTTTGTACGTGCCTGGAAGGATGAGACACTGAGCCCAAACTGTGCTGGTGCTGTTTGCTGTAGGCTCTTCAAAGGCAGACACCACCGTGTCGCTGCTACAGGTTGCAAAGTGTACTCAGTGCACAACGCTGGTAGAACAGCTCTGTGTGCAAGAGCCGAAAGAAATCCCTCAGGCTCGGTAGAACGGGGGTACCAGATGTTCCAGCTGTAGCTCTCCTACAAAGAAATGAGTGTTTCTCCCTCCCGAGACTGTCAGACCTAAGGAAAGCTCTTGTGCAACCTGAGAACTTGTTCAGAGTGCCTGAGCAGGTCCAGGCAACCAGCAACACCTCCTACCCAGGCTCGAATTATTACCAGCCTGGGACTGACCTCTTCAGACCTCAGAGCTTCTCTTTGCTGGAAAAGCAAACAAGAGCAGTGATGTGTGAACAGAGCAGTGAGAAGAGCCCTCTGCTCTGGCCAGAAATGAAAACACTCTGCTGTCCCTTGAATGTGAGAGAAAACCATGTGTTTTCTTGAATACATGTGAATTTTTATAATTTGGATTCTTTTTTTTTTTTTGGTCTTGGAAATATCAAAGCCAAGCTACTTTTAAATTTGCATTAACAGTCAATTGTCAAGACCATTTTAAAATGGAATTAAGTTGGGGGCTTTTTAAGATAAACTGGTTTCAACACAGAAACTAAATTAACAGCAACTGCCGGCCAACCTCCAACTAACACCGGTGACAAAGACAATTTCCAGAGCTGGCTGAAGTTCTCCAAGGAGTGTTTTTCCTGAAAAAATTCCATGTAACCTACTGATTTTTCTCATTAATTTGTTGGGGTTTTTTTTAAGAAAATACTTGTCTTGTGTCACGCTTCAGATTGCGACCTAGTTCAGAAAAGCCAAATCCACTTCATTTGGGTGAACAGGCACTTCAGTGTTGGATGGGCTCTCCAGCTGAGCTTGAAAATATTTCTATTTAAAAATGAAGTGTATTTAGCTTTTGTTGTCTCTCAGCTAGCAAAAAGTAAGGGTGTGGTCCTATTTAAGAAGAGTAAACAGAACCCACCTACCATCAGCCTCGAGGAGGAGACCATTTCACAGGTCCTGCTAGTCATCACCTAATTTATTTTTTTTAAGCAACAAAGGTTGGCAGTGAAATTGAGGGTGGTTTGTAGTCTAGCCTGCCAAATACATAAAAGACCAGATCCAGTACTCCTAGGGGCCTCTTGGCTGTTCCAGTTATGGTAAGATGTAATTAATGCTTAAATTAATTAGCCCAGGAAAACCTTTGCTCTTCTCGTGCTCGCTGTGAAAACGAAGGGCTCAAAGCATCTTTTGCAGAGCACGCAAAAAGCCCCTGTGTTCTCTGCCTTTTGTGTTACCAGCTGCCTCCTGCTCAACCCTGTGCTCTTTCCGTGAATTCCCAGGTGGCTCCTTCAGCGAGGAAACGGAGCAGAAGTTCGATCACTTCAGTGGACTCACAAATAACAAGGTGGCCACCCGATAGAGCGCCAGCGCCTCCCACCCCACTATTTAAAGAAGCGAGGTCTCCTGCTTCCGTGATTTCCCTAACCACTGCACACACACAAAAAAAAAAAGAGAATCAAGCAAACAATCAAACTCTAAATTAGCAAGGTAAATTATTTTCTAGAGATGCCTTCCTTCCCAGTTTAGGTGTTCAGACCACCACGTGTGCCTTTTGTAACTCCAGTCCCTGCTGCCGAGGTAGTTAGGAGCAGGCTTTTCAACTCTACTTGGCTCCCTAGCCTCACCATTCCAACCTTCTCCACTCTGCAGCACCATCTTTATTCACAGATGTAGGTCCAGGCTGCAGCAAGCACAATTTTCCCTTGGTGTGGCTACCAACAACCTTACAACATGCCTTCACCATTCACTTTCTTCACGGCAATAGCCTTGGTATCTTTGAGCTCTTTGACTCAAGCTTGAACGCACCGTTGGCGCAAACGCCTCCGTTCATGACTGCTTCTCAAACACAGCTAATCCTCAGCACTGCCATGTCATTACTCCATTTCAGCAAAGAAATACAGGAAAGAGGAAAAAAAAAAAAATTGGAGCAGCTTTTTCTGAGCAGAACAGGATAAAGCATAATTTAATACCGCAGTGAAACTCTCGTATTCCACAACCAACTCCCAGCACCATCTCCTGAGCGGAGCAGCTAATGCAGAACTGTTTTCTCCAAGTGCATCAGGGCTCAGTGAGGCTACAGCTCCCTTGTAACATCCAGAAGACTTTGCAGATCTCCTGATGAGGAGCCCACCAGACTGTGACTTTCCATTACACAGTAAGCTACTCACCCAATAGGTTCTATGTACACTTAAATATTACCTTCTAAGCTGGATATTCACTGTCTTGTCTTCAAAGGATGAATTCAGTTAAGGCATTGTATCATCACTGTACCTTACAGAAGTAACTTCATGGCTTTCATCATCAGGGGTCTGGACCTGTGCTGTCACAGACCCACCTGTGTTAAGTTGTCTTTAAAAGGATTTTTAACACTTGGTAAATTCATAATGGTGCTAAGTGTGTTCCTCTGTTTGTTTGAGGACACACATTGCTACAGATTGCCAGACACAGCTACTTGAATAAAAATGTTTTACCCAGAAAAAAAACGTTTTATATGCCATTTGTGTATTTCTACTCTGTGAAAGTTTAGGGCCTTGTTCACAATTCCTGGTACTGAAGTTGTTTTTCTCCCTCTGTGTTTGTATGGAAGACTTCTACAAGCAGCTGAAGTTAACTGAATACTTACAGCTGACCCTTTCACTCCTTGGGGGGATTGAAACCAGCTGCATCTAACTTGTGCTCTCCATAACCTACCTCACAGGGATGTTGTGAGGCTTAAAGAATGCAGAAGTCTTTTGCTAATGCCTGTCAGAGTATTCCTGTCATTTATCCAGTGGCCCAGATGGTGGCATCTAGCAACGGTTTTTAGCCTACTGTCAGTTGGAAAACTCCATTTTGTTCTCAAGATGCCGACCTGCGTAGCAAAAGTGGAGCCTGAGATGTGTCGATGCTCTGCTGCTGCTGCCCCAGCGAGGTGTCTTGCAGCATCTCTCACCAGCAGGCTCTGGGCAAATCAGAACTGGCAAGTTCTGGTTTTCTGTTCCTAATCTCAGTGTATGACAACTTTCCTCCTGAACAGTGCAACAAAGCACGTCGGGCTCTTTCAGTGTTGTGTAAATAAGGAAAAACCCTGGAACTCACTCACATTCCATGCTTGCCCGTTTTGTGGGACAGTTTGACAATACTATTACAACAAAGTAAACATTAAACAAGTTTTCTGACTCCTGCAGATGCTCTGCTCTTGCTTACAGCTGAATTTTGGCCAACAAGATACAATTCCCTTACTCTAATGCATTTTTTTTTTTTAAATTATAGAGTGGGCTTCTCTGTAAGCAGCCTTCATTTCTGCGAGTGCCCCAGTGAGTAACAGAGTAGGGCAAGATGCTCTCCAGAAGGAAGAGCTAACAGCAGCCCTCACAGGGCTTGGCTCTGGACCTCAAGATCTCCTTAACAGTAAACTTTTTCCCTTCCCAACTTTAGAAAGAAAAGACGGTGCTAATCCATAAGAGAACATCCCTGTGGCAACTCACTGTTCTGCATGCAGTTTAATATCACAGCCATGCTCATCAATACTTTTTTTTTTTTTTTTTTAAGCTGAGATGGTTTATTCCTCCTGGTCCAAGCTTTCTGGCAGGAGCACCTCGGTGCCTGAGCTGCCTTGCTGCTTGTGCTTCAGACCCAAAGCCCGGGTCACCAGCCTCTTCGCCACCGCCGTGTCAGTCTGGGGTCTTTCCTTTGCAAGGTGAAGGAGCTCTAGGTAAAAATGGGTGAAAAATCATTAAGTTAGTGCTTTTTCAGGAACAGTCTGGTGGCTAAACCAGAGGACTGGCAGACAGAAGGGCTGATTTCTATTTTCTTAGTTCCTTTACAGAATTAGCCCAGGAGCACGAGCAAATCATTCTATCCCTATCCAGTAAATCACCTTTTCTTTTCGAAAGATGTGCCTCCAGATTTATCCTTAAGATTTTTCAATGACTGTTCAAAAGCTATTTGGCTATGATGAAGCTCCAGCCCTCTTCTGCAGCAGGAGAGAGAATTGTTCCCCATTAGCTTTCAGGAACAGCTTCATAATCACTCCTGGCAAAATTCAGCAAGTCACATCTCCGAGAACAAAATGAAGGTGCACAGTCCAACCAATTTATCCATGCACGGAAAAGTTTGATCTCAATTTAGACTAATCAAAACCAGCAGTCTAAATGTTTAGAAAGCAGCAAGGAAAAAGAAAATCTGCATTTTTTAAAAAAATAGCTAAATGTATCAGATGCTCGGGGAAAGCCCTTTGGCCAGTAACCTCTATTTTCTGGTAGACATCTGGCTTGCTATGGTTTCATCTTACAAGAAATGAATACACCAAAACTTTACCAAGTCCACAGCAGTCTGGATTTGGCAATTATCTAATCATTTATCAGCAAACTGTTTGCAAATTTATTATCCAGTTAGCAACAGGGGCTTTGCTTGCTTTTTCAGAAGTTTATGACTAAAGGCAGCCCATCAGCAGCTTAAAGAAGAAGGGGCAGACCCAAAACATCCACAGCTTGGAAAATAAGACTGCCATTCTTTCTTGACAAAGCTAAAAAAAAGAAACAAAAAGAAAAAAAAAAAAAAAGAGACACTGTCAGCTAATTAAGATCCAAATTTGTATTTTGAAAAAAAAAAATTGCTACTTAAAGTGAATACAAACAGAGTTTATATATAATGTTCCCTAGAAGGAGGAGTTTATAACCTGATTCAGAAGTGTGCCAACAGGCTATACAGCAACAAGAATTGGGAATGAGAGAGGGCAAAACCAAATCCAATTCTTTGACATTTCATTTCAATCAAGCAGTCTTAAAAACTCAGGAAGTTCTAACTGTGACAGTGTCCCTTTAAAGCTGAAATTTGTTTCAACTGCAATGTACTGTAGAAGCAACAGTATACTTGTACGTTCAGCAAAGTCTCTACTGCTACAAGATTCATGGCATTTCTTTACTGATTACAATATGATTTTAAAAGGCAATAAAATAAATAAAACAATGTTCATGGCTAAGCTTAACAATTTCTTCTTTCACCTGATACTGAATAAAATTATGCCAACCACAAAATGTAACTGCTACGGGTCGTGTCTCATCTGTCATCCTAACGATGCAGAGGAACATACTGGGCAGGTTCATGGCATTTGCTGAGCTTTGTCTTCCTGCAGTCACTGCTACAGCTACACCCTCCACTTAAAACTTCACACAAGAGAAGCAAATAACACGAGAAAGACTAAGCTTGAACTTCAGCAAACCACTTAGCTGGAGAGTAAACAAAAAGCAACAGGATTTGGTGCTTTTTTTGATTCAGTCCTTGTAGAGCAGGGGAGGAAGAGTGACTGAAAACTTCAGCGTATGTAACAGCTGTAGTTTTCTTTCCTGTAAGTAGAACATAATGTAGTCTCATCCTGCAAATCCATTTTTTGTTATCACAGTCACCTGTGCCAGCCACTCCTGCCTGCTGCAAACGGGCAGAAACCAGCAGGACAGATGTTTTAACACAACTATGATACAGGTTGGCTGAAAATACTGTAACGAAAATGCATCTGCAGGCTTTACTGAAGACTCTACACAACAGCTCACTGTCCTGCAACACCAATAAAGTACTAAAAATAGAACAAAATAAAAAAGAAATACTGATCTCTCATACCTTTAATATACATCTCCCTATTTAACTTGTCATCCTGACCACTCAGGATACAGAAAACTGGTAAACCAAGAAATAATACTAATAATAATTGGAAAAAAAATTGTCTTACTTGGTCGCTGAAGTGCCTTGATCTTAGACTGCTTTGTTGCATGGATCAACGGTCGGATCTTCAAGGAAGGATAACGTCGCCCCAGGGCTTGAGATGCTTCAAAGAACAAAGATGCTGAAATTAGTAGACTGGATTTTGGTGGTTTTAATAATAAAAATCAGTACATTGTCTAATACCACTGAATAATTTGAGCTTCAGCAGCTGATGTGTTATCTCAAGACTTGTACTAAAACAGCTAAACTCATTCTGGTCACCTCAGGCTTAACATCACACGTTCGCCGCACAGGAATAGCCTCAAGAAAAATATAAACATGTTTTAAAAAGCAATTCTGTCATTATTAGACTAAAAGAAAAAGCCTGAGCTTTCAGACTACACACGCTGCTGGATGGAAACTTCTCTTGGGGCAGCTCTGACCTGAGCTTGGGGTGTTTGTCCCCCCAGAAGGTCAGTTTGCCCGGAGGCTCCGTGTCTGACCCACATGCCATCGCACTCGTAAGGTCCCCAGGAGGTAACTGTACACTTGCAGGAATTTTGTCTCATTACAAGACGAAAAAAAAAAAGCTCAAGTGGCAAAACAGATTAATTTCTAGAAACACAGCGTGAGTCGTGCCCTGGTTATTATCCACGCCAATTAAAAACCTGCTGTTCTTCTCGCGAAGCGGAGTTTCCACACACTGCCACAGAAATTCCAGCTTCTCAAGCCTTAAAAGCCTTTCAAGTTTGAAGCAGGCAGGGAGAAGGACGCGATGAACCACCACCACTTCTGGCAACAGCTCAGCCTGAGCGCCAGATTGCAAACCCCCGCGTCAGCACCGCTCACGGCGCAAGAGCGGAGAAACCCCGGCGGCTCCGCGGTCCCAGCCAGGAATCGAGTCACGGTACCTGTGGACAGGCTGGAGAAAATTCCCAGGGCGTGCGTGTCGTCGACCCACTGGATTTTGAAACCACTCTCGCTGAAATGAAAAGCCAATGGAATAACATTCATTAATAAGAAAGGAAAAAGAACAAACCCACCACGTAATAAAACCCATCTGCCACCTTGGGTCATCGGGAGTACGGAGTATTTTTATGTAGCCAGCTGGTGCTTTTCAAAGCATTACAGTCATTTTACATGAGGGGAAGAGAAGGAAAGGAAGGAAAAGAACATTAGATGTGCCCCTTTCAAAGCCACAACCTGCAATTCCCCCAAGAACTCTCCTCTTCCTCTGAAGAAACCCTTGGCCAGAATCAACCTCAAGTTCAGGGACTATCTTGTAACACAGAAATATTGTTTGTTGTTTATGTAGCGCTTTACCAACACCACCTGATTGCTCAGACATCTACACTAAAAAGCAAGTGATTTATCTAAGTAAGTGGTTTACAAAGCTTAGGGTGAAGGGACCAGTGTGAAAATCTAATCAAGCATCGGTGGAAAACGTGAGTTTGGGCGCAGTGAGTTCAAAGCTTTTCCTGCAGCACAGGAAAGACAAATACAAGTCACTGCTCAGATTAGATCCATCAATTTTCAGCTCAGTTTCACTCTTACAGCAAGTGGAAAAGAACAAAAACAAAAACAGAGGAAGTACACACAATAGACAGTAGCTTATTTAAAATGTAAATCGTGTTTTAATTTAAGGGATGCGTAGAGGTGAAGTGTTCACATCTAATCCACCAGGTATGCCAAGAGAGGAGGAGGATGGTGGGAGGAAAACAGGGAGAGGTGCCTCCAGACACCGTGTCTGCACACGCTGGCAGAAGTGAGACTGATTCAGCGCTGCACCGAGCACCGTTTGTCACCAACGCAGGGCTGAGCTTTGTCCTGGTCCTGCTACTAACCCAGCGTCACTCCCTTTGGCACAAGGCTCTGTTCCTCTCATTTACATAAGAAATCTTATCTCCAACAGCAGGATTGAGCCCTTTTTCTTGTAAGACTTATGTAAGCACATAATTTCACTCTGGCACCGGAACGCAGTGACAAAGAAGCTCCTGGAAAGCACCTAAAGGCTCTCACTGAAGCTGGAGCCGTAGGAATAAGCCTGCATGTAGGTAACTGTGTGTATGACAGAGCCCTGAAGAACCAGTCGTGTTTTAAATCCTGCATAAAATGCAGGAAAGTGTCCTTTAAGGCACAGAAAGAGGGCAAGACATAAAGGCAAAACTAAAATCCAAAATTCATCACATTCTCTTGTGCATTCAAGCGTGAACACTGCTCCCTTCATGCCCCAGATGTGTTCGGGCTCCAGCACTGGTACTCACTGGAAATCCGAGAACACTTCTAACAGGTGCTCCGTTTTCAGCGACGGGGAGAAGTCATAGATTTCAGTGACGTGGCCGAAATCCCCCTCGCTGAGCTGGGCGTCTCCATAGCTGGAATAATCAAAGCTGATCTTCTCGATGCTTATGTCCTTCACGGTTAAATAACCCACAATCTAAGAATATTTAAAAAAAAAAAAATAATCAGACAAGGTTTCACTTCAAAGACCAATCCTCCAGGGCCCCACCTCGGTCCCTGCAAACCAATTCTGCAGCCACACTCCTGCCAACAGG